AACCTTTTTCAATTTAAACACAAGTTTATTCAACTAAAATACAAAACAAATGGAGACACATTTTAAAACACAAGAAGAAGAATTTGACAATTGTCTTACATTCAAACCATAATTAGACGATATACCAAAATCGAATTTATTCAAATTCATTATTGTTTTGTGTGTAACGAATTTAAGAAAGATAAATATAACTATCACATCAGTTTACATTCACAAATTGAAACATTACTTACTAATGGTTTCTCAAAATATTGGTTTTCAAAAAACAAAAAAATGAATTTTGTTGCACTTAATCGTTTGTTCACAAGCAGTAATTCTTATGCCCATGAAGTAAGTATTAAATACAGAGAACAAATTGAAAATAAAATATTGAAAAGTGGTATAACACAAGAAATACTCAATTTTAAAGTGTCTGTCATAGACGATGAATTACATCGTTTTACAAGTAACTTAAATGGGGTTTAGGAAAATTCGCCCGATTATATTTCGCCTTTATTTTTTTTCGCCTGCAAAAAATCAACAAAAGTTCAACACTTAACAATTATGAATTGGGTTTCTATTTTTATATAATTTTTACTAATAATATGTTTTAATATCACCAAACTTTTTCAAACCAAACACTAAAAACCAGTTATTAATTTCTGCTTTTTCTGATCACTTTTCTTAACTTTTTAGTTTTCTGATAATCAGACACTATTCTTGGCTTTTTTCATTGTAAGCTTTAGTTGCTTTTTTAGTCTTCTTTTTCAAGTCTTTTAACCTGTCATTTGTAGTGTTAACATCTTTTTCCATATTAACAGAAACAAAAGTGCTCTCGTTTAAACTGCTGTGTGGATCTTCTATTTCATTATGCGATGAATGGCAAAAATGATAATTGTTGGCAACTTCTGTAAGTGAACTTTTTTTTCATAATTTCAATCAATTCATTTTCTTCGTTGACTTCTTTGATTGCAGTATTCATGTCCAAATCAAACAGAATTATGTTTTGCTTGCTAGATAAAATGGTCACACATTTTTTAAGGAACACAATTGGGTCAAGTTTGTTTTCGCTGATCAGTTAATTTTGTAGTTCTTTCAATGTCAAATTTTTCTTAATCGACAAATTTGATTGGCGACTTTTTTGAAGGTTAGTTTCATATGCTATATATTTCAAATTGATAATTTTTTGAAAAGACAACAATTTTTCCAAAAACTTATGGATAACTGGATGTGTTGTGCCGATGTATCTGTTAAGTGCGGAATGGAAACTTTCTGACCTGTTATTTGTTCTTTCAGATAATCCAAACACCGACCAATTTGCTGTTCTAAACACACCTTTGATATAGTTGTTTTCGAAATACTCTAGAAACTTTTCAAAATCTTCATCACCACCCATTTCATCTTTAATTCTTTTGAATGTTTCAACAATAACGTCTTCTGGTAAATAAGCAGTTGCCATGAGCATTTTGACACCCAACTTAAAAGTGTCTCCTTCCACAAAACAGCGAGACAATCCCATTGTCAATAATCTCCTGTACAGAGATTGGCAAAAGTGGAAATGACAGCATTTTATAGTAACCTCACTTCCAAACAGGTCT